GGGGGGGGCAGCCTCCAGAGAGCCATTTATCTTTTTACAGGTGCCATGTTGGCACAAAAAACCCCACTATCACAACATGTGAAAGAAGGGCCATTGTGGTGTGAAAAGCTAATTAGAAGCCATTAGAACTGCCTCTGTCTATGAAAATAGTAAACAAGCAACATATTTCTAGAGGATAAAAGATTAGTGGATACAGAGAAGTGATGACTCCATATTTTACTTGCCTGTTTGGCCTGTGGAGGGGGCAAAAAAAAGATGGATCTGAGAAGTGACAGTGAATTATAATAAACTTTACCAGATAGTGCATTTACAGCTGTTCTTCCATATTTGGTTTCATCGTGTGGATAAATTAAAACTTCTGGTACTGGTATGCAGCTATTGACTTGTCCAAAGCCTTTTTCTCAGATCCAATTTCAAAGACCACCGTAGCAGTCTGTGTCCACAGGAAGGGAAACAATATACTTTCACTGTCCTCCCTCTCGATTATAACGCCTCGTCAGCAGTATGCCATGATTTAGTTCACAGGTACAGTGATTGCCTTTGCCTTACACAAAATGTCACTCATGGTCATTTCATTGATGGCACTGTGCTGACTGGATGTAGTAAGGATGACATATCCAGGACCCTAGACTGAGTGGGATAGCATCTGCACACAGTGGAGAGGAAAATTAATCACTTCAGTGAAAGCTGTGTGTGGTGTGGGCATATCAAGATATTCCTACTAAAACGAAGGATACATTATTTTATCTGGCCCCTCCCATGGCAAAATACGAAACACAATTCAAATTGGACCTCTTTGGATTTTGGAGGCAGCATATCCCTCAATACTGGGTCTCATATCCTGAAAAAATGGAAAAGCATATAAAACAGTTCAAGGGGGGAACCTCCATTGACATAATACCTCTGAGATAAACTCTACAATGAACAAACAAAAACCGAGGAACACAATACAAACCAAAAATACGGACAAATTTGGAAGCCAGTTCAGGTCCACCCTGTATCATAGGGGGAATCTACTGACACAGTTTTAACTGTTCAGGTCATATTTATGCCTTTGATCTTCTATACTCCTCTCTCCTAACCACTCTGTTTAGTGCGCACTTTCCCTCCATCACTCAATTTTAGATAGGAGGAGTCCTCTGGAGGCTTAATTCCTTATTTCCACAACTGAATCTTGGCCTTCCACTGCCGCTTTCCGCACACCAATTTCTCACAATTCAGGTTTTGATACTGATCCCTCCTTCAGCTTCTGATTATATGGATTCCAGTCCCTCAGTGACTGATGATGGTGTGCGTCTTCCATGTGGACTTCGTTGACATCTCACTTAGATGGCTGCTTGTTTGGAGACAAGCCTTAGAAATACCAGATGCTACTTTATCTGACAGCCGGGCACCATCTAATTCTCCACCACATTTTGCTATGGCACCTGTATCTTCTGTGTTCCCTTCCTGAGGGTGAATATTGAGCAGGACCATAATGTAAGAACTAATTGTTCTTAAGTTGGAGCTAGGATTTAGTGCAAGCCCAAACCCCATTCCTGGATCCATGCCCCCCCAATATTAATTTGCTGCTCCTTGGGGGTTAATACATATGTTCATATCATTCTACAGATCAA